CTTCCACTATTAAAAAATGTGCATTTTCTTGCTTGCAATTAGTTCCAGCTTCTCACCACTAAGGTTTATTACACCTTTCTACCTCTGGACTAAAAGTCCTCTACCAAGAGGAACAATAGAGCTCACCATCAAACAATCTCTCAACCTTTATTAGTATTTCATCTTTTCTTGGGTGTCTCTCCGTGTAACATGGAGTTTTATGTATCCCTGGTGATTCTTGAAATGTGTTTGTGAAGCCTTTTCAGTTTTTCAACACCTTTCTCCAAGTGTGGACACCACAACCGCCTACTTTAGTTCAGCCAACAAGTTTGACTTGTGGCACAGAAAGGTATGATGCCACTTTTATCTCCAAACTGTTATCTCCTGCAGCACCCAGGGAATGAACTGGACTAAATCTCCAACAATCAACTCTTCTTATATATATTTTTTTTTTATTATTATGACTTTAACCACATGGTGACCAGAAAAAGTTAAGGCAAGTGAGAGTAAAGCCTATTTCACAAATTTGTTTGGATGGACATATCTCCTTTTTCATTGATGATATGAATTGTCAGAGGACTAGACCCTCAAACCCAGCATTAGCTTTTGTAAACATCCCTAGTACAGTCCTTCAATCTGTCTGAGCAGACCCAGGATTTTTCTTTGACTCTGTGAAACATCCCTCCCCTGCAGTCCAGGTTAGTTCAGTCATTGTCCTTGCTTTTCTGACAATTACACAGTGACTGATCTCATTAGTTACTAGGTTTTAGAAGAGGACTGACAGTTTTGATTATAAAACAGAAGAAGGAAAAGAAATTCAGAAAGAAGTCTTCATCAGTCTAAGCGTCCTTGAAGCACACTATGGAACTGTATGGAGGCACAACATTAATAGTGTAATATTCTAGCATTTGGGAAGGGGGGAACTTCAAATCCTGAGACAAAAAGCATGTTCACAGAATCACAGAACATCCTGAGCTGGAAGGGACCCACAAGGATGACTGAAGCCAATGTTATTTAGTACTAATAAGGAGGATTCCTGTAAGTTGATTAATACATTGCAAGAGTTTATGCACTGCAATCTGTAAAGGCTCAAATGCACCCTACAAAGGATTTTAACAAATCAAGGATATGAAGTCAAAAATGCTGTCACCAAGCTGCTGTTTTACTCAGTGGTGCCCAAAGTGCCCAAGGCACATGTTTGGCTCAGAGGCATCTAAGCCTTCACAGTGATGGGCAGCTCTTTTGGTCATATCTCACAGATAATTTGTCTGCCTACACCAGAAGTCTGAGCTGGGGCACATCCAAAATCCAAGGACCCCAGTTTCAACTCTCTCCTATGAATGGGTTCAAATCCCTACCTCCTACTTGTCCAGAGTCTGTGATACACAGGACTGTAGGCTGAGATTCTGGCACTTCTTCCTCATGGGAACAATTCCATTTTGGAAAGAAAGAAAGGAAAGAAGAAAGAAAGAAAAGAAAGAAAAGAAAGAAAGAAAGAAAGAAAGAAAGAAAGAAAGAAAGAAAGAAAGAAAGAAAGAAAGAAAGAAAGAAAGAAAGAAAGAAAGAAAGAAAGAAAGAAAGAAAGAAAGAAAGAAAGAAAGAAAGAAAGAAAAAGCAAAAAATTTGATTACATGATTAGGTGTCTAGAAGTGGTGTGAGCTGTTCTGATCTCTTTCTGGGCTTAACACTACTACTCAAGGTGAGTCTATGTTCTGAATAGATTTTTTAAAGGGCACAATTTTTATGTGTAACTGATGCAATAAAACTGTCTTCAAAGCAGTTCACATTGAACACTGAGCCAAATTTATTTTGATATAACATTCATTCTTTTTGCTGGCATCAAAGATGCATTTGACCTCATTCCTCTACAACATAATGTATATCACAAAACTGTACAGCAACAGAAGAAAATTCACTTTCTATACTAGCAATAAAAATTAATTTTAAAGCCAAAAGAGATGGGATATTCAGAAGCAACATGCATTGTGTATGATTAAAGAACTTTTTCAAAAGTATTTAGTCACTGCTTTTTTTTCTTCTTTTGTCAAAGACTAATGTACATATTGTGAATATGAAATTGCAGCTTATGAACAAGCAGCAGAAACAAGTCCACAGATGTCAAGTTTGTCCTTCAAAAAGTGGTTTTCTGGAAAAATGTTATTAAAACCTTCCAAGAACAAATGCAGCATTTAATATAAAACTGCCAGATCCTGAATAATATGTGTGAAATTTTCCTCCCAGTAGCACATGTCTTCCAGAGAAAGATGTCCTTAACTGAAATGTCTCCTTCAAATAATATCTTTTTCCTAATGAAACATTCAGTACTTGTTTGCTCAGCATCTTCTCCACCTTCCCAGGCTTTACTGGGCTTTTTTGTAATTTAAATTGCTTATAAAACACTTGTTGCTAGACCATTCGCAATAATTACCTTGTTTTAATTTGTGTCCCTGCTAAAACACACCTATATTCACGACATAAGCTGTAAAAGCTTCGCATTATAGTAACGGAGCACCTTATTTTATTATGTGGAAGTGTTAACTCATCACATTGTAAATTGTATTCCTGTGATTCAAAAGCAATCACTTCATGTCATTCACTTAGTATCTCTCCACAAGGCAGCTGTGAGCTCAAAATCCAAGCAGGTATACTGACACAAAGAATTCTGATAAATTTGTAAAACATCTGAAATCAACAGTGCTGTGAAGTATACATAAACATTTTTTTCATTGCACTCTATCTGTCCTTTAATATTTCAATATTTCACAGCCTTGGAAATTTGTATTGTTAAAAACAAATCCCCATGAGAAATGCCCAACGTGCTTCTTTTATACATCCTCAAGTTCAGCTGAGTTCACGGAAGCCCTTTCTCCGGTGCCTGTCAGAGACACAAAAGGGGTGTCAGGAGTGCTGAAGCAGCTCCAATACCACCACGGTCAGAGAATGCTCAAGAAAATCCTCTTGAGGGGCTTGAAAGAAGTCATAGTATGAGAAGTGACACCAAAGGACATTCTTTCAAAGAGTTACAACACTAAGCTGTCAAAGGTGAGCTGTCACTTCTCAGCCGATGACTCAGGAGCACTTGTAAAAAGAAGCAGTGGAGAGGTCTAGGGTCACACCAGAGCCCAGGACATGGGAGGGAAGTTCTGAAAGTGATCTTGGGCTTTTGATTTCTAAAGATAGATAAGCACGAAGTAGAGAAAAACATCTGGGCTTCAACAAAATCACACCTTATTTTGAAACATGTATTAAAAAGTACAAGGAGACCTTGAATATTTATAATGTCAAAACAGACTAACATTTATTTACATTACACTTCGAAATATTTTGATTATATGATTGCAGATAGCTAAGAGTAATGGGAAGTATGTGCTTATATACAATGTATGTTGTATTCAGAACAATATTCCAATATATATTAAGGAAAAAGCTTTCATCAGGATTCTAAATATGTATATATTCATGCTCCAATATAGAGATCTCGGTCATCTCATAGGCAGCCTCTACGGCAGAGGAGAGAGGGCATGATTTCCAGTGGGAAATTCCCACAGGCAACAGTCTTCTGCATATCCAACAAGTTCATTTCTGTGGTGTCAAAGCCCTGCAGAGCCTCTGGGATGTGCACAGCCTTTCACTGTCTCCCCAGTGAACACAAGGAAGCACAGCAGTGCTGCCTCATGCCTGGTTCCTGCCTCGCCAGATCTGCCAGGGAGTTGGAGAGCCCATGTGGGATGGCCAGCATGGCCTGAGAGTGCAAGGGGAACACAGGGCAGAAGTCATCTTTGTAGCCACCATGGTCTTCAGTGGCTGCCGCACCAGGGAGGCCATGGAGAGGAGCAACACGGAATGAGAATTGTGTGCATTTGTTAAAAGAGGTTTGCTAATAAGAGTGCCTACATCCAGACAGTCACAAACTCCCAACTAGTGGAATTTACAAATGCTCTAGGTCTGCACAAGTTCAAGAAGAGCTTGCACAATCCAGATACTGGAATAGCCCAGTTTATTGAAACAAAACCCAAGAAGGTTGGGGATTACTGTATGCACTAACTAGAGGTATTAATGTATATAGTAAAAGCACTAACTGGAATGTCCCTATATACATATGGTAAATTCACTATCTAGAGGGTCCTAATACATATATATTAAATGAACTACTCTGGGGCATTACTAAGTATAGTAAATACACTAATTAGAGGGTGTAGCTCACACTGGTCACTGGAGTGGAGAGGTGCCAGCTAGCTGCTCCTCATGTGACCGGAGGAGGCCACAAGAGCGGCCACTCCCAGGCTCTCTCTCTGAGGATAGCCGGGTAGTGGTGCAGTCTGCGCGTGGGTGACACAGACAAGGGCAAGCTGCGAAATCCCAAGGAACGAGAGAGCAGACACTTGTATGGATGCCCAGGAAGCTTTACTCCAAGATGGGACCGGGGACAAGCATCACTCCAAGATGGGACCAGGGACAAGCATCAGTGAGAAAGGGTCTGGGGAGGCTCTTATAAAGGGAGTGGGCATAAGGCGTGGAAAAATAAGGCAACCACTAAGCAAAGGCAAGGGGAGGAGTGTAAGATATGGCAGAACCCAGTGAGAAAAGGTCTGGGGAGGCTCTTATAAAGCATACCACTAAGCAAAGGCAAGGGGAGGAGTGTAAGATATGGCAGAACCAATGAGGACTGCACAGGGGCGGGAAGAAGCCTCGGAGAAAAACCATGGACTAGACTAGGGATCATTGACACAGAATGTTCTCGAAAGAAAGGGGCGTGGTTACAATGACAGGCAGGGGTGGTGGGAAGCACCATAAGGATTGACACAAATATATAAGGGCATAAGGGGAGGAGCAGAATCACTCTGAGGGGCAACCCAGTGGCGGGAAAAACAGGGTGTAAACAACTTAGGGAGAAACCATTCTGAGGGACTTAAACGGGGGGAACAGAGGATTAAACCATTCTACACACTAACAGAAAACAACAATAACATTTAAAAACCACCCGACGCCACAAGAGGGTATTAATATATACAGCAAATGCACTAACTACGGGAGGTTAATATATACAGGGTCTGCCAAGAGGCCTCACAAGCACAGCTCTGTGCACCAGCGTCTCTTTCAATGGCCAGGATCAGCAGTTGTTGGAGCCGATGCAGCAGGCGGTTGTACTCCTGCACAGCCTTCCTGTGGGCATCTGGACTGCTGGCCAGGTGCTCAAAGAGGCTGTGTGCTTCAGCCGCCCTGAAGCCGGAGGGCAAGCTGATCTCCATAAGAAAGCTGTCACTGCTGAAGACAAAGTGGTGAAGCTCTTTTGTCTCCAGCGAGCAGCGGAGGTACTTCAGGATATCCATCAGTCGCTGCCCGAAATCCCTCCTGCACCACCGTGTCAGGGGTACAGTGCTCAGGAGGTGCATCACCACTGTCTTCAGGGCATACCTGGAAAAACCTACACTCATCAGGAAGCCTGTGAGGAGCTGCAGGCACTTGCAATAACAGCTGCCCTGGGGGGCCTGCCTGGAAACATGCCTGAAGAATTTTGCCTCTGCCACAGCATAACTCTCCAGCCATGTTGTGCTTGGGATGCCTACTTCTGTAGGCGCACTGCCCACAAAGATATCTGAGTCTCCTTGCCGCACTCCAAAGACCATCTCAGCCGTGAAACTTTCCTGGTCATTCCTCAGCTGAAATTTACAGGAGCGGCTGCAGGGCTGCAACATTAAACGCCAGTGGCGGGATTGAGGCAACAGCAGCCAGGCTACTCTCACAAATCCATAGAAACACTGGACAGTTTTCTCCACATCTAGATAGGAGCTGGTGCAGAGGGTGTGCAGGAGGCTGGGCTCCTGTTTCCTTCTCAGCTCCTCCTTGGGGTGGTGGAGGAAAGACAGCATGTCCTCCCCCAGCCTCTCCCTCATGCAGGTGCACAGCAGCTCCACACAGACACAGAAGTTCCTCTGGAGCATGCCTGCAGTGTCCAGCTCCAGGTGGAAGGCATGTCCTGGAGGGGGACTCAGGGGTAAAAGCACACAGTACACAACATATGTGTACAACACAGTGCCTGGGGACTCCAGCCTTCAAAGGCGCTGCCCACTCCGAAGGCTTGTTGTGGCACTGGGTAGAAACTGTTGGACAAGCCTTGTCCAAAGATGTGGATGAGTTTATCCATCATGTCTGTTATCAGTGAGCAGCCTTTGTCCAAATCTAGATCAGGCAACTGAATGCTCTCCTCTAAAGGGCTTCCAAGCTTCCTTTTGACATTGTGGTCATTGTTCTCTCCGTTTGCCTTCTCGTCATTGTCTTCGTCGTTTCTGGCAGCATTGGCTTCCTCCCCGTTCTCATCTTGGTTCACTTCTTCCTTTGCAGTTTCGTAGCCTTCTTTTGCTTCATTTCCAGCATTGCTTTCTGCTGTTGCATCAACATTGCTGCCTTCTTCATTTCCATCATTTTTGTCTTCTTCCACTTTTTCAACAATGCTGCATCCTTCTTCATCCTCTACCAAGTTGCTGCTGGACCTCTCCTTCTGGCCACCCTTGTCTGGATTGCCTCAAGTTTTCCCAAGTCTAAACCACAGCGCCAAGAGAAGGACGAGGATTCCACTCAGATCCCAGAACTGCCACCCGAGCAGGGCCCCCCAGGCCCCACCACTCTGCTCCAGCTTCATCTGCTCCAGCTCCTGAATCAGCTGAGTCATCTGCTGGCTCAGATACTCAGCATGCTGCTGCATGCACTCCAGTGTGGCCTCATCCAGCCCATTCCTGGCCTGCTGCGGGTACTGGATGAGGCCTTGCACAAACAAGAGAAGGAATGTAATGGCAAGCATGGCCTAAGGACATGAGCAGGGCTTCAGTGGGGATGGGAGGGAGCTACTGATAGGGGAAGTGCCGCGGCTGTACTGGGGCAGCGTTACCTGCTGCTTCTGTTGGCAGCCGTCCCCACTGTCACACGGGGGCTGTGATGTCACAGGTGCCAGAGTGCATTCAGGCCAGGACTAAATTATGGTGGACTTAGTGATCTTAAAAGTCTTTTCCAAGCTAAAGGATTCTATGATTCTCTTCCCTAAATATATCCCTTGCTACTGGACACTGAACAACCACTCCTGACTACCCAGACCTGCTTTGAGCCACAACCTCTATAGTACAACCTCCTCAATTCTGAACAAAATGTTTTTGCCAATGTGTATGCAAGGTACTACCTTTGGTGTATATGCTGGGAGATGCATATAAGGGTTTATGCACATACAAGGCACTATCACATGGTCTGTTCTGGGGGGAAACCTCAGAAAACTTGAGGGCTAAAGGAGCCAAAAAGGGTCTTCTTTGGTACTTCATACCTTGTCTGATAGTTTTAACCACACTTTGATCTTCTGCAGAAACTGAATGTCTGAGTCTGAATCTCACCATGAATTTTCACATCATGTACTCTGGTTAAGCAAGCAGCACATCCCTTTGACTCCATCATTTGTATGACCATGCATTTTTTAAGTCCGCACTTCTTATAGAAATTGTGGTACTGAAAGCAATACTAGAAAGGTATTCCCTTTTCAAATTTGATAGTCATCTTTTTTCTGTCTGTTCAGGGAATCTGTTTTATCCATTACATTAGGTGCAGTTATTGTAACAGTCACCACCATGTTTGCCACAGCTATTTCTATGATGCAGTAGAAATCAATAGCATTTTTTCTATGCATCAGGGATTTCTCATACATATTTATTTACAACAATCAAATGAGCACAGGTTCCACTCATCTGAATAAGCCTGGTAGCTTTATCCCATTTTGGAAGCTCTGGAAGTAGCAAACTGTGACATTAGGACCTCATTTAGTGTCTGAATGTTTCCACTTCCCTTTCTAAAGCATCCTTCCCCTCAGTTCAGCTCCAAGGCTAGGGCTGTTCCTTCTGAGCCTTCTAATTCCCCCTCCAGCTCTTGAATTTAATACTCTGTTTAAATGACCTTCCCAACCAAGCAAGCAGTTAAGACATCAGACTTCCTTACACAGACTTAAGAAAATTCCAAAATTTTATGTCTTGTTCAGGTGATGAATCTATTTGTCCTGTCCAAGGGAATGTGAAATACACCACCATCAATTCTATGCCATGTATCAGCTGTTAGGTTGTTAGGACTATATCTAAAATACATTATTTGTAGTTTTTAGACTAACAATTTTCTATCAGTTAATCCCTATGCCAACATTTCACAATATCTGAATTTACTCTAGCTCAGCAGCTAATTCAGGTCTGTTGGCATTATTCTGGATGGACCATTTCATGGAGAAATCTGATGTCATTTGTTGTGAACAAGAGGCCTGTTTTCATTATGACTCAATACCTGTATTCAATACTTGGATTACACATAGACACTGCCTAAATTCAATACCTGTGTTACCCATATTCAGTAAGTAATGATTAATTAGTCATTAACCAGGCCTCAAATGGTTAGCCATGGCAATCAGTCTATAAATCATCAACACAAAAAAAAAAGGTCTCTCCCACGTATTCTAATGCTTTCTCATGTTTGGTTTTTTAATTGCTTTTTCTGCTTACAATTTTCCTAGCTACAGTGGGCATGGAGATGGATTATGAATCCCTTTCATCCTATTTACAACAGCAACAGCATCTCAGATTCTGACCTGGCTTGCTGCCAGATGCAAGCAATACATTTCCTCCAGTTGCAAGCTATAAAATTATTCCGTCTTTGTCATTCCCTGGATCTTTTTGAAGGACATCAATGATTCTCTGCCAGTGTTGCTGTGATGAATTATATGCTTTTGCTGTTTAGCACAAGGGCGAGCTACACAAAGCCACAGAGGATGAATTTAAAAAAGATCCACATGAGTTTTTATTGTTTATTGAAACCAATTTCATAATAGCAATGCAAGTACAGCAAAAATATTAAATGCAATTAGGGAGACAATTGAAATTAGGAAATTCAAAGCCTGGTTGTTGGGGTTTTTTGAATGCTTCATGCCTGTTTTCTTTAGTATTGGGATCAAAAAATTACTTGGGAGACTCCATGTCAGGTTTATGCTGCACAGCTACATCTGTGCTTCTGAAATACGAGTATACATCTCCTCTTCTTTTAGAGGAGTTTATGTTGACATGTTTCTGATGGCATTCTAGCCTACTCAATAAATTAAATTTTCCAGTAATTTATTAAACATATTGAGAGTTCTTGTGCACAACACATATAATTTTTGAGACTCTCTCAAGTCTTTAATAATCACATTTTTTGTTTTTTTTTTCCTTTTTCCTCCTAAAATTTATAGTCATGGAAGAGGGATAGCAATATTTTAATTTCAAGTGCATTAAAACTATTTTCCTCACATATTTCCTTATTTTTATTGTGAATGACAGGTTGTGCCCGAAAATATTGCCTTGGTAAACAAAACCAAAACTTTGTCCTGTTTCCTCCATTTTTATTATTTTCATTTAATGGTCACTGAACACTTCTTTTGAATTTTCAGAATTGTGGAGACACAGTTCTGCCAAGGGCAAATATGTCTCCCTCTCAAGAATGTCCCATTTATGCTTTCCCATACAGGCAGGTTATAATCTTCGTCTGAAATGTTCTACTTTATCCTGCTCCACCCAAATTCTTGTGTCACTTTCATCGCTGTGCTAACATAACATACTCCAGCAAGTGAAGCAAGCAAGATATCCTATTTCCTTTTCCTTTCTTCTCTCCACAAAGAAATTTGCTCAACTACATTTTTTAATAAAGATTAGCATTAGGGGGAAAAAAATAGCAGTAACTTGGAGTAATAAAAGCTAAGGTTTAGAAACCCTCTTACTTTTTTTGTGGAATAAACCACAACAGCCTCATTACATTGGGCCTGCCTTTGAATTCAAGCCTTTTTGCCACCTTTTGGCAATACTTTCATCCTTTTGTTAGTACAATCCATTCCTGTTCCCCTGTTTTGCTCTCAACCCTGACCTGTCATTATCCCCAGGTGCCACCCTGATCCAAAGCCATGTGTTCAAACTGGCAATGCTAGAACGTGCCCAAGGCTCCCCAAAGGCTTCCTTGGTCCCACTGCCCGGAGGGGACACAACAGGTCTCAGCACTGTGACGAGCTGCTCTGCTACTCTTGTGCTCCTGGGCAGCTCTCTGAACAAAATCACAGAAATAATTAGGTTGGAAAAGAGCTCTGAGATCACCAAGTCCAGCCTATGACCGAGCACCACCATGTCAACCAGAGCCTCGTCTAGTCCTTCCTTAAATGCTCCAGGGATAGTGACTCTATCACTGCCCTGGGCAGCCCATTCTAGTGTCTGATATCCCTTTCTGTGAAGAAATGCCTCCTAATGACCAATCTAAACCTCCCCTGGAGCAGCTTGAAGGAAGCTATGTCCCCTTGTTCTGTCATTAGCTGCCTGGAAGAAAAGGCTGACCCCCCCCTGGCTACACCCTCCATTCAGGGAGTTGTAGAGAGCCAAAAAGCCTCCCCTGAGACGCCTCTTCTCCAGGCTAAACACCTTCAGCTCCCTCAGCTGTGCTCCAGACCCTTCACCAGCTTCATTGCCCTCCTGTGGACTCGCTCCAGCACTCAATGTCCTTCTTGTAGTGAGGGGCCCACAATTGGACACAGCACTCCAGGTGTGGCCTCACCAGTGCTGAGTGCAGGCGCACAGTCACTCCCCTGGCCCTGACACAGGCCAGGTGCCATTGGCCCTCTTGGCCACCTGGGCACACGCCGGCTCATGTTTACCCGGCTGACAACCAGCACCCCCCGTGCTTTTCCATGGGCTGCTTTTCTTCGATGTCACACGGGCGCCCAACAGAACCAAGACCGTGAAGGCAGGGCAGGGTTTCGGAGCCCGGCACTCTCGGGGCATAGCCCCGTGGAGCGGCCCTGTGTCCCCTCGGGCCGCAGCTCGGCAGAGCTCACCTGGCCCCGGGCCGGGCCCGGCCCGCAGCACCCCCTGCAGGCGCCGCCGGGGCACGGCGCCGCGGGATGCAGCCCCTCCACATTCCGCCCTCTTTAGCGGCGCCTCAGCCAATCAGCAGCCGGGGCTCGGCCTCCCACCAATGGAAAGAGCGGTTGTCGCCAAGCCGGCAGGGCGAACAGCCAATGGCTGACGAGGAGAGCCCGCCCCCGCCCCGCCGCCTGTTGCCGGGCAGCCGCTGTCAATGGCCGCCGCGCGGCCCCTTTAAGCGTAACGCGGCAACCGCCGGCGCGTCCTCCGGGCGGGCCGGGGGCTGGGCAGGTACCGCCGGGACGGGCCGGGGGGGACATCGCGGACATCGCGGGGCGAAGGGAGCGCCACGGCGGGGGGACAGGACCGCCGTGGGGCCGTGTTTTCCTAGGGGCTGTGGGAGCTGGGACGGGCCCGGGCCTAGGCCTGGGGTTGGCCTCCGAAAGGTCTCGGGCCGCTGGTGTTCAGTTCCTTTCCTCCGAAGTCATTTATGTAGGTTTCGGTGATTGCGTTTAAAATGTGTCATCGCGAAGTGCTGCTAGAAAATAACATTCGATCTGTTCTTTAAGAGTCTCCGCTGGGTGAAGGAAAGCTGCCTGCTTGCGCTGCGGGACCCGGAGGGTCGCTCTCGGCGCTGGGCTGAGCTCGGTAGGTCCGCACGCACCGGAGTATGGGTATGGCTGGCAGTATGAGCACGGGCCCCGTGAAGCTCTCTGATTTAGAAACATAATCTCTTCTCCCGCTTGTAGGACTGGCTTGCATGTGCTCTGTTTGAAGTGGAATTTCCTCATTTCTGACCGGGGACTTACAGCAGCTTTTTCATTTTGAGATCTGACAAAAGTAGCGTTGTGGCTTACTGGGACAGAGTCAGGTAAACGTAACATAGGCTTTTAAAATCATACAGCGTTTTAATTCACCAAAATACAGGACAAGGCAACAGTCTTAAGCTGTGCCAGGGGAGATTTATGTTGGACGTTAGGAGCAATTTCTTCACAGAAGGGTTTATTAAACATAGGAATAAGCTGCTGCTCAGGGGCATGGAGTCATCATCCCTGGAAGTGTTTGAGGAAAGACTGAACATGGCACTTTGTGCCCTGAATTAGCTGACATGCTGATGTCCAGTCATAGGTTGGACTTGATGATATCCAAGGTCTTTTCCAACCTAATTGATTCTGTGATTTTGTTGAAAGCTAATAAACCTAGAAAAACTGCATACAGTTAAGCCAGCAGGTGCAGTACCTAATGAAATTATACTTAGTCCTCACTAAGGCTTGTCATTCAGTATGTTTTGATGCCATAAAAGTAAATGATTTTGCTTGACTTTCGTCTGGAAAACTTACAGTATTTGGATATGAAAGAGATGAATGCATGGAGTGGAGGGAGACGAATTTCTTTCGAAATCATTCTTTGCTCTTAAGTTCAGCACTTCAGTGACTTGGACTGATGCTTTGTACTTGTCTGAAGCTGGCTTTCTTGCAGTGTCCCTGTCTCAGAATAGGTGGAAGAACGGAGCGGGCCGTTAGAGGTCAGTGTTTGTACGGGGAAGTGCCATTCGGTCACCAGCAAAGGCGCTGAGCTTCCCCTGCGCTGGGAAGGGGAAAAGGACTCAAAAGTTTTATGAGTCTTGCACTAGAGAACTAAGCTTTGGGTGCACTGCGTGGGAAGAATTGCTGAGTAATTTTCCTTGCTGTCTGTTGCATAATACCTGTAGTTCCACAGTTTTAACTTCTGTTTTAGTGATTGGCTTAGGAGTAATAGGGAATCTCCTGTCTCTGTTGTAGCTGTTTTGTGTTCTGTGTTTTGTCTGTCATGTTCTCTGTGGTGACCTGGTGCTTGAATGTTTTTTGTAATGATGAACATGGTTTTGATACAAAATATGTAAATAACAGCAATAGACAGAAGTACCAGAAGTGAAGGAGTGTGAAATCTTGGAAACAAAACTCTTTCTAAAGTTTTGTATGCAAGTCTCAGATTTCCTTCAGCCTCTCTGTATTGATGTGATCTCAATTTATTAGTCTTCTAAAAGCACGCCTTGAGCTTTTGAGGGGAGAGGATTGGGATTTTGATGGTGGTGGTGGAGCTTAGTAGACCCACTGCTAATCCATAATGTTTCACTGCTCACAACTTATTAAACCTACAGGGGAAAATAGATATCTTTGTGGATCTTATTCACATGAGTTAAACTCACTTTATAATCAACTCAAACTAGTTTGTAACAATTGGAAAGTCAGGGAACCAAAACATTTATTAATTAAACAGTCCTTAGGCTTACTGAGGTGAAACTCAAATATCCTAGTTATTCTTTTGTTCTCAAGATAAACTGTGCATTCTTTTGTTAATCAAATTGTATTATGAACTGTTGGAAAAATTAATTTGGAAAGACTTGACAGATTAAGGGTTTTTTTTTGTTTTGCATGGAAAATATGATAATATTACCAGTTATAGAACTAAAAACCATTTGAAGATCCAGGAGATGTTTTTGGGGATTCCTCAAGGGCGCTTTCTTTGTTTTACCTTTTTCAATTTGTTTTCATTCCATTGCTTTTCAAGTACTTCCAGAATGCATTGAAAATTCCTCTTCATTTTTATATCTGTATGTCAAAATGATACTTAGCAAAATATTCTCAGGAGTGGGGAATATCCAGTACAGGATTGGTGGATAATTCTAATCCTCCAGTTCTTACAATTTGTTTGTTTTAAATACAGTGAGTTATGAAAAGCATTCTTCAAAAAGATTATTGCCTCTTCAGTGAACTCTTGTGAGGCTAGAAAATAACTGATCACTTTAATTTGGTAAAAGTGAGTGCTCTTCTTTTATATATATAATTAGACATGAACTGTAGGCATTTATGCTTTCCTTAAATGTAAGAATATGAGGTCTGTGCCTCCAGAGTACTATTTTTATATCTCATATTATTTTAGTACTTTTATATAAATGTGTTGGTTTCTGTCTTTGCATTCCCTGAAATCCTGTCCTGTGGAGACAGACCTGATGCAGTCTTGCCTGTACATCCTCTAGAGAACAGATTGTGCCCAAAATGCTACCTGTTCAGTCTTGTTTTGCTCTTCAAGGAGCAAAATAACATCCATTCTGCACAGGTGTTTGTGGGGCCAGGAGTTAGGAAAGGAAGTGTTTGGGAGTAGGGAAGCACCGTGATATGTTCTAATATTCTTACATGATCTTAGTTACAGTTATTATTAGGTACATCCTTTCAAAATGATTTTAATAACTCTACTATCTTGTAAGGAAGAAGAACAATCATTCCTGATTATTTGAATGTTCACAATAATCATACCTTCCAGCTTGTGCTTAACAATCTCTAGGACAGGTGATCTCAAGCATAGCTGATTTAACTTCCTAGGCTTTGCAGTGAAATTTTAGTTTTCCTCAGATTCTTTTGACATAAGTTTTCGGCATCTAATTTTTTTTTTGATCACTTTGAAAATATTTAGGTGTTTAAAAAACGTTATTTTGGAAAGTTACTTCATAAGTGACAAAAAATACTCTTTTCCAGGTAATTCAGTATTCATTTCCAACTATCTTCCCAGTTTAGAAACCTGATGGGATATTTATTCCTCTAATTCCTTCTGTATAGATTATGAGGCCAAATGGATTCCAGTCACTGGAGACAGAGTTGTGCTAACAGTGAACTGAGCCAGAAAGCTTGAATTTGTAATGAAAACTGTCTTGGCAGCTGACATTTCTGTTCTGCTTGGCTCTGCAGTAATGCATGTATAGGCAGTGAAGGCTGAGAAGAAGGCCAAGTTTATTTTATTGGGGAAATAAAAATATAGTGAAAAATTTACAGCTCATTTCCAGGTATGTTGAATGTCCTGCAGCATAGAGCAGTTTTGATTGAAAGCAGCTCAATTTTTTGGTGTGTAATTTGCTTTGCCATTTAGAAATCAGCTGGGAGGTTATGTCATTCAACAGGTGGAACTGATGGGCTCTGATGCAGGCCCCATTTATTCACCCACTAGAGACTTGGTATCTCAAAGTTGGATTGAAAAGAAAAAGATGGTGAAATTAGGCTTGAAAGCTGCCAACAGTGGTGAGAGAGCCAAAAGACAAGGGAAGCTGAGGAAGTCAGGAAAACACTTCCTCAACTGTTGAGAAAATTCTTTTGACCTTTGAAGGTGAATAAAATTTGGAATATATTTGCTCCATTATGTTCTCAGGAAGTATCTACAAATACAAAATGGGATGATTTCACCTTGAGATATGGGATTTTTCAGTTTGCATTAGGCTGCAGGAGGAGCCTTTCTTATTTTATACCTGCTTCAGATGTAATGTTTATCATGTACCGGGGGCGTGGTCTCTCTTATCAGATACAAAAAAGGTGTAAATATATAAGTACACATGACACAAACGTGTGTGCTCTGGCCAGTCCTTGAAGGCATGAAGCACCAGATGTTGTAGGGTATGGGAGTACTTTTCAGGGTGAAGATTGAGATAGATAGGTACAGTTTCATTAGGGGTTAGGGAATGGATATTTTCCAGACAAATGGGACAATTGATATTCAAGCCCATTATTTGACATCATTGGAATGTCAAAAATTGAGAAATGGAATATTTAGTCAAATTCTACAGATATCTCAATTCAAGTCACACAAATAAGTTGTTCATTCATTTGGTTAAAAAGTTTTAAAACATGTCTAAATTAGTTTCCTGAATATCAACAAACTTTTGCTTGTGTTCTGTTTTGTTTTCCAAATTTTTCTTTTCCCTTCTCTGACATGGGAGAAGTTTCTTATTCTAGATTTAGCTGTGTTAGTATTCTGATTTCTCTTTTGGAATTTAAATACCTCAGACTATTGAATGTAATAGTGGTAGCATTCCTAGAGTGATGCCTGCCACATTTAATATAAATATAATTACTAATATAAACAATAGGTAGCACAGTGTGTGTCATAAGGTT